CGTTTCCAGGGCCCACTAAGGCCACTCCCCCTCGAGGGGGAACGTTGAGCAAGGGACCGACCGTCCCAGCATTCCTATAGGCCAACCACGACATGTTTTTGGAGCCTAGAAATGTTCTGAGAGCGAAAGCCAGGTTCTTAGAGCACAAACCCTATGTGTCCAGACAAGACAGCCAAGGCCAGAAGAGTTTTATGAACATTTCGCGCAGACCGCAAAGAAGGTTCTTAGAACATTCTTTGGTGGGCTTAGAGGCGAGCCAAGACGCTTCGCCACTCAAACGTTCCTGGATCGCTGGAGGGGAACCGGCCAACTTGGGTCCCAACTGGGCCGGTTCCAACTGTTGGGACAGCATCGAGCTGGAATCGGCGATGCTCACGTCGCCGATTGATCGGCAGTATGCCCTCGACAGCGAAACCGCCCGATCCTGGGCGAGGTGGGCCAACGGGCCCCTATCGGAGATCGGTGGGCGATTGGGAGTCGACGCTTCCCCCCCGAGCTGATCCCCCCGACGTTGACATGGCCATTCTGGCGAAGCGGGTCGGCCGCTGTTGGGCAAGCGGCCGTCTGCCTCAACCGGGCACGGCCCGCGGAGGCACCAGCACGCGCGGGCGCTCCATGGCCAGTTGCTGGCGGACTGCGCGCTCCAAGGTGCAGTGCAGCACCATTCCATTCACGTGCCGCGAGGTACTGGCCGGCTCCACCGTGCAAGGGCGCCCCCCCCCTCCGTGGAACAACGCGACAGCATGCTCCGACGGGGCACTTGGGCGGCTCAAGACGCGCTCACGGTCCGAGAGGTACGTTGCATGGGTGAGCGGCCTCTTGAATTGTGGCTGCAGGTAGGCCCCGCAACCGGGATGCTCAGGTACACCGACGGGCCTGCCCGGGCCTTCCGGGTCCCGCATGGGCCATCGCCGCAGAACTGCCGTTAAGTCGGGCCTGTCCCCCTACAGGGGGATTTTCGACGAAAAACAAAACATACTTCAAAGTAATCAATTGTCCCGGCAAAGCAACCTAACAGCGATATGTAGAAGCATATCTGAAAGCATTCCCCTCAAGATTCAGATGAAAATCCAGTTGTAGAATTCTGCTGTTCTCGCAGTCGTAGTCGCATTCGCGATGACAGTCGCAGCGGCAACGGCAGTCGCAGTCACAGCCTCAGCCTCAGCCTGCCTCAGCCTCAGCCTCAGCCTGCCTCAGCCTCAGCCTGCCTCAGCCTCAGCCTCAGCCTCAGCCTCAGCCTCAGCCTCAGCCTGCTTCAGCCTCAGCCTCAGTCTGCCTTCAGCCTCGGCCTCAGCCTCAGCCTGCCTCAGCCTCAGCCTGCCTCGGCCGCAGCATCAGCCTGCCTCAGCATTCAAAATGTGACCCAGGAATGGAGTTCTGGGAACTAGAAGAACACGAAGTGGCCTACAGTTGGCTCCGGGCATTCAAAATCATGCCCAGGAATGGAGTTCTGGGAACTTGAAGAGCACGAAGTGGCCTACAGTTGGCTCCGGGCATCCAAAATGTGGCCCGGGAATGGAGTTCTGGGAAATCGAAGAGCACGAAGTGGCCTACAGTTGGCTCCGGGCATCCAAAATGTGGCCCGGGAATGGAGTTCTGGGAACTCGAAGAGCACGAATGGCCTACAGTTGGCTCCGGGCACTCAAAATGTAGCCCGGGAACGGAGTTCTGGGAGGTCGAAGAGCACGAAGTGTGTGACTGTTGACGAAAAACGAGCCCGGCTCTGTTCCCGGTTCTCCAGAATGTGGCCCGGGAATGGAGTTCTGGGAGGTCGAAGAGCACGAAGTGTGTGACTGTAAACCAAAAGCGAGCCCGCCTCTGTTCCCGGTTCTCCAGAATGTGGCCCGGGAATGGAGTTCTGGGAGGTCGAAGAGCACGAAGTGTGTGACTGTTGGTGAAAAACGATTCCCGGTTCTCCTCCCCGGCACCCGCCCAGACCCCCCTGAGGAGTCATGATGCTCTCTTTTGACCCTACTAGAAACCTATCAGCAAAAGCTGTTAGGTAAAAAGTACGTCCAGAAATAGTACGGGGACTATTTTTTGAATATTTCTTGACCTTTGGGGGGCATGTTTGGGTATGTTTTATTTTTCGTAGAAAATCCCCCTGTAGGGGGGGACAGGCCCGACATAAAACTGCCGGGAGGGAAGCCAGCTCCCAGAGGGACCCCTTGGTCAGGGCGCGGCCAAAACGACCCACCTCCGTGCGACGTTGCGCTCTGCAGACGCCTCGCGGCGCGAGCCCTCGGCCCCGGAGCGGAGGCACGGGCGTGGTCGGGCAGAGCTCTCGCGAGCTCGCTCCCGCGGGAGTGGGGGCCCCCGGCGGCGCTCCAGCCTGCGGCGGAGCAGCCGCGGCACCGACAGCGAAGCGGATCCCCAATGGACAACTCGCAATCGCTCGGACGTCCATTCCCTGTGTTTTTTTTTATGTTTCGTGAGTGGTTTTTTCGCCAAATGATCAAGGAAAAATGCACACGTCCGAGCGATGCCAAGACAAGGGTTGCGGCCAATCTTCGTCCTCCTTCGCTCCGTCCTCGTGCCGATCGCACCGCCTCTGCAGAGGCAACAGCACGCATCTCGGGGGGGTTGCTTCGGTGCGCCACAGGAGCTCGACCCCGCCGCCTCGGAGGAGCCGACGACGACGCGCTTCGGCTCGCTGTTGGGAGTGCCGAGGCGGTGCGGTGACAGACCGTGCGGTGACCTCGCAGTCCCCCAAGACCTCACCGCACGGTCCGTCAACGCACGGTCTCGGGACCTCGGATGCCCCCAGCGCCCGAGACGTCCTCGGAGAACGACCCGAGTCCCAAAACCGTGCGGTGACCCCGAATCCCCTCCGACTCACCGCATGGTGCGGTCACCACCCCGCTTGGGGGCCCGCGACGCTGGGGAGCTCGACCCCGCCGCGGCCCAGTACCCTGGGACTCTCCGCGCACGGGCCCGCCCGCGGCCCGCGCGGAGGGGGGGATAGCACATAGCAAAGGCCAGGGTGGAGAATCAGCTCACGCAGCTGACTTTCCCAGCGCCTCCTGGCGCCGGAAAGCGCCCATGTATCGAGGAATGGGCCCGGCGGCGGGGCCGACACCGGCTGCATGCAGCAGATTTCGCACCCCCCCCCGTTTCCCTATCCCCCCCTTTCGCTCGGCCCGATCCTCGGCCCCCCCGCGGGCACTCGGAATCCATCAGCGGCGCGCCCTGGGGAGAAATGCCAGGGAGGATGCCCTCTCAAAGGCGGCGGGGCTTCTCAGAAGCCCTCCGGCCTCCTGAGGAGTCTTTCTGTCACACCCAGGGAGCAGGAGGAGCAGAGCACGGACGGCATCAACAGAAACTTCTGGGACCTCCGCGCGGATTTCTCGAGTCGGCGCTGAGCCCCCTTGGCGGCGCTTCCAGCGCCGCCCCCGGCGCGCTCCGCGCGCCATGGAGAAGGCTCCAGCACCGATCCAAGAAATCCGCGCGGCGATCCAGAAGTTTATGTTGTCGGGTGATGTCATAGCCCATTCTGGGGAGGGAGAAAGAAGAGCGCGCGACCACACGATCTCGAGTCGCCGGGGCTGGCGTCACAACAGCGCGAACCTCAAGGTCGGTAGGCAGACCGTGAACACCAAACGAGCTGACCTGCAATAGGCAAACTTTTGCAGCGAGCAGTGGCCTAATAGAAAAGAAAAAAACACGTGGGCCCAGAACACTTGGGTCGAGTAGTCGGACCAAGGCCAGAAGAACATCCCCCAATAACATGGGACCCTCCGTCGGCCAGAGCACCCAGAACATCCAAGGGTACCCTCCCCAGGATGCACAATAACATCCAACAAACATGAACGATATGAGGAGACCCTCCCCGAACCGACCTCGATCTTATACCTCGGTCCGACTGTACACGAGTTCTGTCGCCGAAAGTCCGAATCCCCAAGGAGACACCCCGAACGAAGCACATTCCGGAGAGGAAGAGAGCCCCACCACGCAGACGGCCATGGATCCCCTCCTCAGCTGGAGTCTGTCTTGACCATGGTGCCAATCAAATTCTGTTAATGGCTACACCCCCGAGCTCCAGGAATTTCTGGGCGTTCCCCGGCACTCCTGGGCTGCGCTCGCGTGACTTTTCCAGAGGCCCAGGGAGCATGGTTTGGAATGCCCACTCTCGATCTGGCAGCAGAGATGGTCCCCACAACCGTCCTGGAGCCATCTTTTTTGTTGAGCCCTCCAGGGCAAGCAAACACCGTTGCAAGGAACGCGCCCGTGCATAGGGAAGCTCGCCGTGTTGGCGAGCCAACGAGGAGCAGAATGAGACGCAGAAAAGCCAACATGCCTGGGCTTGTGACCGCTCGTCAGGAAGGATGTGGCAGAGACACGAGAAGTGAAGGCAAGCTGGCGGAGCTGGGAGCGGGCAGACGCCCCACGAGCAGTCAATCAGCTGGCATGCCGCTACGGCCGCGCTGGGAGACCTCTGAGGAAGAGGAGGTCGGGAGGAGGAGGAGGTCGGGGGAGGTCGGGAAGAAGAAGGATCGACGGGATCGGACTGGGGAAAGTGACGGCACCGGACTGGAGTGACAGCGCGGGCTCCCAGTGGTGAAGGAAGGCCTTGAGACCGCACCCCTGGAGGAAGGGCTCGACCGTGCCTGCCCCAACATTGTGTTGTGGCGGCATCCGGGCTGCGCCTTCGCATCCACGTGGCTTGAGCAGGGACTGACCGTTCCGGCATTCCTATAGTCCTACTATGAAATGTTTTAAGAACCCAGAAATGTTTTAAAAACAAAAACAATGTTCTCAGAACATAAACCCGATGTGATAAAACAAAACACTCCCAGCCAGAAATGTTCTAAGAACATTTCGTGGGAACCACAAAAGGTTCTTAGAACATTGTTTGGTGGGGCTATAGGCGAGCCGAGACGCTTCGCCACTGCTTGACTGGAGGAAGGGCTCAACCGTGCCTGCCGACAACAGTGTGTTGCGGCACTCTGCATAACAAGGCGGGGGCACGAACGACGCGGTGATCTCTGCAGACCCCGCGGGTCCAGAAGATGCGCGGAAGCCGCCGCCTCACGTGTAGACAGCGCGTCGAAAACTTTCTCACACCGCCCTGGGAAGGCACTGGCACACACGACGTGAGATGAAACGCCATTCTTTCGCAGTGCTACAGTCGCCAGCTAGCCCGGCAACTGCAATTGGAGACCGCTGCCGCGCCCTCGAAACCCTCGCCGCCCTCACCGAAGCGCGCAGGCGGCCCGCCCAGCATTACCGTTAGCCCAACATTGGCAAGCACCGCTTTTCACCATGAATCCCCCGGCCATCACCAAGAACGGCGCCGCCGTGAAGCAGCCTATGAAAGTAAACGCGCAGATCAAAAAGCCGAGGCCAATGGCGGCGGCACCTCCTGCCATGGACCCAATCTGTCCACCTGTGCACCTCGCCCTGCGCCGCCTGCGCCGCCTGCTTCCTTTCTCCGTGAGCGCGACGTCCATCCCTTTGGCCAAAGAAGCTTTGCGTAACTGCGCCTCTAAGCGCCTCTCGAGGGAAGCCGGCATCTCCTGCGATTGGAGCACCTCGACCATCTCTTCACGGCTCACCCAGACGATCTCCGTCCCGGAAGGGATCTCAAAGGCCAAGGTGTGACCCACGGGTGCCTCGCTGACGAAATCGAAGGCCATGCCCATGAACGTGTTCGGACTTTGCGATGAAACTGCGAACGTGTTGTTCTCAACCGTGAACGACGCGGTGCTGTTCCCTACGGACTCCATGCGCTCACTGTCATGAGGGCATTGCTCAGTAACATTATCAGTGTCCTCCACGAAAAACATCTTCAGCATCACAGGGATCGCTGTTCTGCGGTATTCCGCTGGCACGTCCATCAACATTGCAGGGGCATCGTCGGTGCCAGCCCCCATAAACGTCACGATTTCTGGCATGTCCACTGCAGCATCTGGGTCGGGGGTTAGGACTGTCTTGATGATGTTCCCACGATACTCCACTGTGGCCGTCACGTTCAAACCTCCCTGCCCTGTGTAATAACAGATGTTGCCATTGGGACAAGGCAGCATGCCCCCTTGATAGCTGCACCCACTATCGGCCAGCTGGCTAGCATACTTGCGCCACGTCTTGGCCGCACGGGCATGGAGCTCGGTCTCCGACGCGGCGTGTTGATCTAAGAGGTACTGGAGGTCTACCATACCACTGCGACTGTCGGCTTCTTCCCCTGCAGCGCCATGACCAGCACGCCTGAGCAGTGCCTCATCTACGGCATTCTCCAGCGTCAGTGCCTGCAGTGGCAGGGCGACGTTTGCAAACAGTAGAAGGTGAAAGATAGCCATGAGCACCACAGGTTCGGTTCCCCTTTATCACGTATGTGTGCAGTACTGTAGATAGCTTGATGCGACTTGTGCGGTCTTGAACCAAATGGTTACGGTCCCGTCCTGGAGCCCTCTTGGACCGTCTTGGACGCCTTGGGCGCCTGCCCAACAGGCCCAAGTCATTGGAAAACCGAGAGCGGTGCGGCAATTCCTGGATTCCTCATGAGGAAGAAGGTTTCTGAAAGGTTTTTGGAAGGTCTTTCCCGGGCTCCAGGGGGGGGGGAACGAGGAAAGTGTTTGGAAAGTTGTTCGAACAACCTTCGAACAACCCGCCAACATTTCTCGCGATCTCCAATTACCTTCCAACAGTACGTTTTAAAACACCTTACATAACCTTCCCAAACACCTTCCAACACAACCTTCCAAAAACCTTCCAAAAACTTTACGAAAATCTTCCAAACACCTTCCACAAACCTTCCAAGCAAAAAGCAACTCCTGAGGAAGGTTCTTGGAAGGTTCTCCCACAAAACCCTCCCGAGGAAGGTTTTGGAAAGACTTAGGAAGGTTCTTCCCAAAAGACCTCCGGAGGAAGGTTTTTGGAAGGTTCTACCAGTCAACAAAAACCTGCTGAGGAAGGTTTTTGTAATGTTTTAGGCAGGTTCTTCCAAAAAGAACCTTCCTGAGGAAGGTTTTTGGAATGCTTTAGGAAGGTTCTCCCACAAAACCTTCCAGAGGAAGGTTTTGGACAGATTTAGGAAGGTTCTAACAACAACAACTCCTGAGGGGATGTTTGGGAGGTTTTAGGACGACCCTCCTGAGGAAGTTGTTTGGAAGGTTCTTCAAACATTACCCTGGCAACATACCCAACCCCTGCGCAATGCGGGGTATAAGTCGCTTGGTAGACTCTATACAGGGTGATGACGTGGCATGGGAGAATATACTTCTGCAAACGGCACTCGGGAGGCTCGCGGATCCCCGACCAAGGGATACGAGCTTGGGGAAAAGCATTACCAGGTTGAGTCCCTGAGCGTGGGGGAAAGGGCAGCCCCCAGGAACGGCGAGGTCAAATTCGAGTCTGCGGCAAGTGCCCATGATACTGGCCTCCCCAGCAGGCCTCGAAAGTGGCGACAGCCTCGCAGATCGCAGCCCCACTGCCCAGGGATGGCGAGGCCTAGTTCTGATCCGCGGTGAGTGCCCACTCTGCTGCCCCCCCCCCCCACACCCCAGCAACCCTCGAAAGTGGCGACAGCCTCGCAGATCGCAGCCCCCCAGGGATGGCGAGGTCTAAATTGGATCCGCGGTGAGTGCCCTCTCTGTTAGCCTCCAAAGCAGCCCTCGAAAGTGGCGACAGCCTCGCAGATCGCAGCCCCCCAGGGATGGCGAGGTCTAGTTCTGATCTGCGGTGAGTACCCACACTGCTGGCCTCCCCAGCAGCCTTCGAAACTGGCAGCAGCTTCGCAGGTCGCAGCCCCCCAGGGATGGCGAGGTCTAATTCTAATCCGCGGTGAGTGCCTTCTCTGTTGATCTCCTCAGCAGCCCTCGAAAGTGGCGACAGCCTCGCAAATCGCAACCCCCCCAGGGATGGCGAGGTCGACGTTGGATACGCAGCGAATAATTACCCACTCTGCTGGCCTCCCCCGCAGCCCTCGAGTTTGGCGACAGCTTCGCAGGTCGCAGCCCCCCCAGGGAAGGCGAGGTCTAATTCTAATCCGCGGTGAGTACCCACCCTGCTGGCCTCCCCAGCAGCCTTCGAAAATGGCAGCAGTTTCGCAGATCGCAGCCCCCGGGGATGGCGTGGTCTAATTCTGATCCGCGGTGAATGCCTTCTCTGCTGGCCTCCCCAGCAGCCCTCGAAAGTGGCGCCGGTCTCGCAGATCCCAGCCCCCCCAGGGATGGCGTGATCTAGTTTTGACCCGCGGTGAATAATTACCCACTCGGCTGGCCTCCCAAACAACCCTCGAGTTTGGCGACAGCCTCGCATATCGCAGCCCCCCAGGGATGGCGAGGTCTAATTCTGATCCGCGGTGAATGCCCACTCTGCTGGCCTCCCCAGCGACCCTCGAGTTTGGCGACAATTTCGCAGATCGCAACCCCCCAGGGATGGCGAGGTCCGCGCAAGGCAAGAGGAGACAAGAGGGAGGCGGGAGGAGGAGGGGGAAAGGAGGAGGCCGGAGGAAGGACGCGACCGCAGTGCTCCATTCAAAACAAATGCCCAACCAAGGAGGGCTGGGAACAAACACATTCCTGAGGAAGGTTTTTGGAAGGTCTTCGGAAGGTTCTCCCAAAAACCCCTCCTGAGGAAGTTGTTTGGAAGGTTTTAGGGAGGTCCTTCCAACAACAACCCTCCTGAGGAAGGTTCCCTCATGAGGAAGGTATTCGTAAGGTTCTTCCAAATAAAAAACCTTCCTGAGGAAGGCTTTTAGAAGGTTTTAGGGAGGTTCTTCCAACAGAAACCCTCCTGAGGAAGGTTTTCGGAAGGTGTTAAGAATATTCTTCAAACCGCATCTCTTCTGAGGAAGGCTTTCTATATGGTTTTAGGAAGGTTTTTCCAAAACGAAGACTCCCCAAGAAGGTTGTTAAAAGGTCTACATACGGTTCTTGCAACAACAACCCTCCTGAGAAAATGTTATTTAAAGGTTTCAGGAAGGTTATTCCAACAACGACAACCTTTTTGAGGAAATTGACTGTAATGTTTGAGGAAAGTTCTTCCCAAAAAGCCCTCCGGAGGAAGTGTTTTGGAAGTGTTTCAAAAAGGTTCTGCAACACAAACATTCCCGAGGAAAAAATCCAGGAGGTTTCAGGAAGGTGTTTCTAAAAAAACTCTCCCGCATCATGTTGTTGGAAGGTTTTCGGGGTACTCTTCCAACGTAGCCTTCCTGGGGAAGTTTTTTTTGTTTCTCTCGACGGTTGTACGAAGTTTCTTCAAACAAGCATCCTGAGGAAAATTGCTGGACAAGTTTAGGGCCGTTTTTTCCGAAACGCCCTCCGGAGGAAGGTTGTTGGAAGGTTTGGGGGAGTCCTTCCAAACAAAAACCCTCAGGATAATTCTTCAAAAACCATCCTGAGGAAGGTGTTTGGAAGGTTTTTTTCCAAACAGCCCTCCTGATACAGATTTTAGGGAAGTCGCTTTCCTGAGGAGGGCTTTTAGAAGGCTTTAGAAAAGCTCTTCCAAAGACATGTCTTTGAAAAAACCTCATGAGGAGCGTTTTTCCTTGAAAGTTTTAGGAAGGCTCTCCCCGAAAACCCTCCCGATGAGGGTTTTAGGAGGGCTCGTCCAAAAAAACGTTCCAGAGAAACGTTGTACACAGGTTATTCTAAAATGAACCCCTGCTGATGAAGGCTGTTGGAAGGTTCTTCCGACAAACACACTTTTGCCGTGTCATGCCACAGCCCATTCTGGGTGGGGAGAGAGAGAGAGAGAGAGAAAAAGAAAGAGAGAGAGAGAGAGAGATAAAGAGAGAAAGAGGGAGACAGAGAGAGAGAGAGAGAAAGAGAGAGAGATACACAACAAAAGGGAGAGAGAGAGAGAGAGAGAGAAAAAAAAAATAGAGGGATAGAGAAAGAGAGAGAGAGAGAGAGAGAACATTATCCTGGCGAAAGACCCAACCATATGCAGTTGTGAGTGCCGCAATTGTGAATACCTTCTTCGGTGGCGTTCCCTATGGGGCCACGAACCGCATGAGGGGCATGCCGAAATATGGCGGGGTACACAACGCAAAGGAATACGATAGGTCAGGTCACGAAAGAATGAACGCGGGTGAGCCAGAGCGCGAGAGAGTCTGAGTGTGAATGGGTCTGCGTGGGAGTGAGTATATTTGCATGAATGCGATCTTGGCTACGCCTAATGTAAATGTATATGGATGTGAATGGCTCGACCACGCCTGTCCGAACACTTGTGACACTGGGCGTGGCCGCCGCAGGCAGCTTCCGCGGGGGCCCCGACGGCAGCGCCCGCGCGCCGCGACGCCCATGTCGGCACGCCCCTCACGGGGATCGCACCCGCTTCCGTCCCTTCTCCCCCCCCCCCTTTGCCTGCGCGCTCCAAAAATCCAAAGCTGCGGGCGCAGAGCAGCGCGGAGTCCCCGCGACGCGCGCAGGTCGCCGCGGAGGGGTCCCAGCGACGCGCGCAGGTCGTCCGCTGCGCGGAGCACAGAGAGCTAGCCGGCCGGCTGATTGCGGGCAAGGCCCCGGCCGCTGGGCAGAGCGACGACGGGCGAACGAGGCGCTGAGCAGAGCGCCGCGCGGAATCCCCGCGACGCGCGCTGGTCGCCCCGAGAGGGCCCCAGCGACGCGCGCGGGTCGTCCGCGGCGCGAGGCCGAACAATTACGCGGGCAGTCGAGAGAAGGCGCGGCTCGGGGGGGGCGCTCCTCAGGTCAGGCCCCGCGGATAAACTCGGTGAAGCCGAGCTCCCTGGCGAGGGCCGTCGCCTCCCTCTTGCGCCGCTTCGCGCGCGCTGCAAACTGCTCCAGCTGCTTTCGCAGGCCCCCCGGCGGTCCTGCCGGGAACAACTCGACGCGCGGCGCCCGCATGAGCAGGAGGTCCTGGTGGCGCGTGGCGCGCGAGAGCAGCGCGTAGAGCTCCAGCCACCAGTCGTCGCCCTCCTTCTCGCCGTCCCCGACCTCGTGGCGGCCGCAGTCCAGGATCGCACCTGGGCGACTCGGCCGAGGGGGCAGTGCGCCGGGCAGCCGACGGCCCAGGGCGAGAGTCCACAGGACCCCGCGGACTGCTCGCGCCCCGGAGGTCTGGCCGCCCCCGGAGCGCCGTTCCCCCGCCCCGTCGCGTTCGCGCATGGTGCGCCCCTGGCACGCCACCGTGGTGATGACCCTGCCGTGCGAGAACGGGAAGCCCGTCCGCGTGACCTTGGAGGTGCGGAAGGTGAACGGCTCCGACGTGCGGGGCTCGATGAACACCAGCGGGCCCGCGAGGTCCCCCGTGAGGCTGTCGTCGCGGCGCTTGAGGTCGTCCACGAAGGGCGCGCTCGCGTACTTCTCCACGCGCACCCAGAACCCCAGCGGCAAGCGCTTCAGGTAGATCCTCTTCTCCCCCTCTCTCTCGGCTCTATCGACGTCGTCCCGATCTCGAGGGTCCACGACGATGTGCACGATCTGCCCCTCGGCATCCTTGACGAGGCCGTTCTTGAGGTCGAGCGCTTCCAGGAGCCGGATCCGCATGCCCACGTGCACCGGGAGCAGCCCGTGCATGTCACTGGTGTTCTTCGGGTTGGCACAGTTCATCATCTTGGCTGCGTCCTTGACGCTCATCGTCGGTGCAGACCTGTCGGCGGCCTGCACGAGGAAGAGGGGATTCTTCAGGACGTCCGCGTCCCGCTGAGCACGCATGTTCATCCACCGCGCCACGGTATCCCAGTAGGACCCGATCATGTGGCCGTTCTGGAACCTCTCCTCCCGGAGCCGGCGATCATCGGGTTTCTGCGGCGCCATGTGGGGTGCGCCAGTTGGACCTGAGATGAAGCTCCCTGTGGGGCCACGAAACGTGTGAAGGGGTGCCATGCGAACTGCACCACTGGGACCTTAGGTGCAGCTCCCTGAGGGGCCACGAAACGTGTGAGGGGTGTGCCAAAAAGGGGCGGTGGCGCCATGCGAGCTGCGCCACTTGGACCTCAGGTGGAGCTCCCTGAGGGGCCACGAAATCTGTGAGGGGTGTGCCAAAATGGGGCGGTGGCGCCATGCGAGCTGCGCCACTTGGACCGTAAATGGAGCTCCCTATGGGGCCACGAAACGTGTGAGGGGTGTGCCAAAAAGGGGCGGTGGCGCCATGCGAGCTGCGCCACGTGGACCTTAGGTGGAGCTCCCTATGGGGCCACGAAACGTGTGAGGGGTGTGCCAAAAGGAGCTCCCTGAGGGGCCACGAAATCTGTGAGGGGTGTGCCAAAATGGGGCGGTGGCGCCATGCGAGCTGCGCCACTTGGACCGTAGATGGAATTCCCCATGGGGCCACGAAACGTGTGAGGGGTGTGCCAAAATGGGTGTGCGGGACGCATGCGGGCACACCCACTGGGACCTTCGGTGGAGCTCCGTATGGGGCCACGAAACGTGCGATGCTGGCGACGAGGACAACGATGATGGTGATGACGACGATGATGGTGATGATGACGATGATGGTTATGATGGCGGCCATGATGTTGATGCTGATGACGATGATGATAATGATGATGATAATGATGACGATGATGATGATGACGATGAGGATGATAGGAGGGGAGAGGAAGCGGAGGAGGAGAGGAGGAGGAAGGAGACGCGGGGCACCGTCTCTTCAAAACGAGGACCCAAACACCACAGGATGGTTGGGAAAAAACAAAACAAGAGAGAGCGGGATAGAGAAAACAGAAGGAAAACAACCAACACAAAACAAACAAAAACAACAAACAAAACCAAATAATAATAAACAAAAAAAAACGCGCGACCGCGCGATCTCGAGTCGCCGGGGTTGGCGTCACAGCAGCGCGAACCTCAAGGTTGGTAGTGAAGGGAAGCGAATTTTGTTGTTTGTTTAATAGTATAAGTAGTATTACCATTACTATAACTATTATAATTAATCCCACCAGCCCTCTGGGCGTCGGTGGTTTAAGGAGTTTCCTCTTCCACCCCTCCCTCTTCCCCTTCGGGGAGGGGTTTACCCCTCCCCCTACCCCCGCTAAAATTCGACACCCTCATGAGGATCGTGGCTCCTGATGGGGGGGGGGCTGAAATTTAGGAACCCCTCTTCTTTTATCGATTTCCTCCACGATGGCCGTAAGAGGCCCCCAGGATGCCCCAAGAGGCCGCAGGATGCCCCCAAGATGGCCCCAAGAGGCCCCCCAAGAGGCCCCCAGGAGGCCCCCAAGAGACCCCCAAGAGGCCCCAAGAGACCCCCCAGAGGCACCCAAGGTGCTCCCAGAGGCCCCAAGATGGCCCCAAGAGGCCCCAAGAGGCCCCCAGGAGGCCCCAAAGAGGATTCCGAACGGCCCACAGAGGCCCCCCCGAGGCACCCAAGACGCCGAAAAAAAACCCTCAGGACGACCCTCTACTCGCCTGGGCGTCGTTTCTGGACGGGCTGGTGGGGATACGCGAAGCGTCTAGAATAAAAACAAGTTGTGTCGCGGGCTTCCTCGCCCCCGCAAGAGCGGGGGGGCAGGGCAGGCAGACGGGGGGCTGACACTTCCGGGTTGCCTGGATGGCCATAAGGGGGGGGGGGGGGGGGGGGGGGGGGGGGGGGGGGGGGGGGGGGGGCATGGGGCGGCGATCCAGGGCGCGGGGGCCCGGGGGGTGGTCGGGGTGACTTTTCAGGGCGAGCTCGTCCTCCCTCTCCTCCTCCTCCTCCTCCTCCTCCTCCTCCTCCTCCTCCTCCTCCTCCTCCTCCTCTTCCTCCTCTTCATCCTCATCATCCTCCTCCTCCGCGATCTGAGCCTGACGGAAGCGTCGTAAGGGCCAGGCGCCCTTACTCGTTCGATGCGCCCCTCGTTCCTCGTGGCGGCACCCACCCAGGGAGACGATGAATGCGTGTGTGGCAAGGAGAGCGCAGGCAGGGTAAGGAGATAATGAACCACGCGGCGGTTCCCGCTCGGACGTCCTCGCAATTGAGGAGGAGGAAGAGTAATTAAGAGGAGGAGGAGGAGGAGGAGGAGGAGGAGGAGGAGGAGGAGGGGGAGGAGGAGGAGCGCTTACATGCCACGTCGTGCTCTGCCATGCTACACCTTGGTCTTCAACGCCATGATATGCAATGTTATGTTCGGGGCCGCTGTGCGATGCCATGCTTTGCGTTGCAAAGATTTGCGGTGCAATTCTTCACTACGCCACGCCACGCCATGCTGTGACATACTACGCTTTGCGGTGCTCTTCAACGCCATGCCACGCCGTGCTCTACAATGCATCGCGCACCCTTTCGGGATCATTGCCCTGCTCGACATCCGACTGTGCGAGTAGAGAGGGGATCTACGCCATGGTAAGGGATGGGAGGGAGGGGTAAGCTGTCATATATGACGCGAGCGCACCTAGCTTGTCCTCCCCCGTCCTCCTCTTCCTCCTCCTCTTCATCCCCCACCTCCCAATCGCCGCGGCCGTCCGCAAGGACGACCGACAGCCGTCCGCAAGGACGAAGGTGATCAAGCGCCTCTTCGAAAACCCCTTCCCTCAACTACTCCCTAATTACCCCGTCCCCCCTCCGCAATCCTCCCCCCGCGGCCGCGGGTGATCAAGCGAGCGAAGGAGGACGAATAGAAAATCAGTTCCCCCGAAGGGGCAAAAGCAAACGCGGGGGGGCGGACGATACAAAAAACAGTTTCCGGCGGCTGAATTCTATTAGTACGCCCAACTCCATCATTTTGGGGGGTCCGGGGGGGGGGGGGGGGCATTTTTCAAATCGCTTCCCTGCATTAGGCAGACCGCGAACACCAAACGAGCCGACCTGCAATAGGCAAACTTTTTCAGCGAGCAGTGGCCCAATAGAAAAACACGTGGGCCCAGAACACTTGGGTCGAGCAGTCGGACCAAAGCCAGAAGAACATCCCCCAATAACGTGGGACCCTCCGTCGGCCAAAGCACACAGAACATCCAAGGGTACCCTCCCCAGGATGCACAATAACATCCAACAGACCTGAACGACATGAGGAGACCCTCCCTGAACCGACCTCGATCTTATGCCTCGGTCCGACTGTACACGAGTTCTGTCGCCGAAAGTCCGAATCCCCAAGGAGACACCACGAACGAAGAACACTCCGGAGAGGAAGAGAGCCCCACCACGCAGACGGCCATGGATCCCCTCCTCAGCTGGAGTCTGTCTTGATCGTGGTGCCAATCAAATTCTGTTAATGGCTACACCCCCGAACTCCAGGAATTTCCGGGCGTTCCCCGGCATTCCTGGGCTGCGCTCGCGTGACTTTTCCAGAGAGGCCCAGGGAGCATGGTTTGGAATGCCCACTCTCGATCTGGCAGCAGAGATGGTCCCGACGACCTTCCTGGAGCCATCTTTTTTGTTGAGCCCTCCAGGGCAAGCAAACACCGTTGCAAGGAACGCGCCCGTGCACAGGGAAGCTCGCCGTGTTGGCGAGCCAACGAGGAGCAGAAGGAGACGCAGAAAAGCCAACATGCCTGGGCTTGTGATCGCTCGTCAGGTCGGATGTGGCAGAGGCACGAGAAGGGAAGGCAAACTGGCGGAGCTGGGAGCCGGCAGACGCCCCACGAGCAGTCAATCAGCTGGCATGCCGCTACGGCCGCGCTGGGAGACCTCTGAGGAGGAGGAGGTCGGGAGGAGGAGGAGGTCGGAGGAGGTCGGGAGAAGGAAGGATCGACGGGATCGACCGCACCCCTGGAGGAAGGGCTCGACCGTGCCTGCCCCAACATTGTGTTGTGGCGGCATCCGGGCTGCGCCTTCGCATCCACGTGTCTTGAGCAGGGACCGACCGTCCGGTCATGCCTATAGTCCTACCACCAAATGATGTTCTTAGAACCCAGAAATGTTCTAATAACAAAAACAATGTTCTTAGAACATGAGCCCGGTGTGATAAAACAAGACACTCCCAGCCAGAAATGTTCTAAGAACATTTCGTGGGAACCACAAGCAGTTTTTAGAACATTGCTTGGTGGGGCTATAAGCGAGCAGGGACGCTTCGCCACTGCTTGACAGGAGGAAAGGCTCGACCGTGCCTGCCAACAACAGTGTGTTGTGGCGGCATCCGGGCTGCGCCTTCGCATCCACGCGGCACTCTGCATGCCTGTCCCGGCAGAACTGTTGCAGGACAAGGCGGGGGCACGAACGACGCGGTGATCTCAGCAGATCCCGCGGGTCCAGAAGATGCGCGGAGGCCGCCGCCTCACGTGTAGACAGCGCGTCGAAAACTTTCTCACACCGCCCTGGGAAGGCACTGGCACACACGACGGTGAGATGACACGCCATTCTTTCGCAATGCTGCAGTCGCCAGCTAGCCCGGCAACCGCAAGTGGAGACCGCTGCCGCGCCCTCGCAACCCTCGCCGCCCTCACCGAAGCGCGCAGGCGGCCCGCCCAGCATTACCGTTAGCCCAACATCGGCAAGCACCGCTTTTCACCATGAATCCCCCGGCCATCACCAAGAACGGCGCCGCCGTGAAGCAGCCGATGAAAGTAAACGCGCAGATCAAAAAGCCGAGGCCAATGGCGGCGGCACCTCCTGCCATGGACCCAATCTGTCCACCTGTGCACCTCGCCCTGCGCCGCCTGCGCCGCCTGCTTCCTTTCTCCGTGAGCGCGACGTCCATCCCTTTGGCCAAAGAAGCTTTGCGTAACTGCGCCTCTAAGCGCCTCTCGAGGGAAGCCGGCATCTCCTGCGATTGGAGCACCTCGACCATCTCTTCACGGCTCACCCAGAGGATCTCCGTCCCGGAAGGGATCTCAAAGGCCAAGGTGTGACCCACAGGTGTCTCGCTGACGAAATCGAAGGCCATGCCCATGAACGTGTCCGGGCTTTGCGATGAAACTGCGAACGTGTTGTTCTCAACCGTGAACGACGCGGTGCTGTTCCCTACGGACTCCACGCGCTCACTGTCATGAGGGCATTGCTCAGTAACATTATCAGTGTCCTCCACGAAAAACATCTTCAGCATCACAGGGTTCGCTGTTCTGCGGTATTCCGCTGGCACGTCCATCAACATTGCAGGGGCATCGTCGGTGCCAGCCCCCATAAACGTCACGATTTCTGGCATGTCCACTGCAGCATCTGGGTCGGGGGTTAGGACTGTCTTGATGATGTTCCCACGATACTCCACTGTGGCCGTCACGTTCAAACCTCCCTGCCCTGTGTAGTAACAAATGTTGCCATTGGGACAAGGCAGCATGCCCCCTTGATAGCTGCACCCACTATCGGCCAGCTGGCTAGCATACTTGCGCCACGTCTTGGCCGCACGGGCATGGAGCTCGGTCTCCGACGCGGCGTGTTGGTCTAAGAGGTACTGGAGGTCTACCATACCACTGCGACTGTCGGCTTCTTCCCCTGCAGCGCCATGACCAGCACGCCTGAGAAGTGCCTCATCTACGGCATTCTCCAGCGTCAATGCCTGCAGTGGTAGGGCGACGTTTGCAAACAGTAGAAGGTGAAAGATAGCCATGAGCACCACTGGTGCGGTTCCCCTTATCACGTATGTGTGCAATACTGCAGATAGCTTGCTGCGACTTAGGCGGTCTTGAACCACATGGTTACGGTCCCGTCCTGGAGCCCTCTTGGGCCGTCTTGGACGCCCTGGGCGCCTGCCCAACAGGCCCAAATCACTGGAAAAACGAGACCGGTGCGGCAATTCCTGGATTCCTCATGAGGAAGAAACTTTCTGAAAGGTTTTTGGAAGGTCTTTCCCGGGCTCCAGAGGGGGGGGAAACGAGGAAAGTTTTTGGAAGGTTGTTCGAAAAACCTTCGAACAACCCGCCAAAATGTATCGCGATCGCCAATTACCTTCCAAAACACAGTTTTTAAACACCTTGCATAAACCTTCCCAAACACCTTCCAACACAACCTTCCAAAAACCTTCCAAACACCTTACGACAACCTTCCAAACACCTTCCACAAACCTTCCAAGCAAAAAACAATTCCTGAGGAAGGTTCTTGGAAGGTTCTCCCACAAATCCTTCCCGAGGAAGGTTTTTGGAAGGACTTAGGAAGGTTCTTCCCAAAAGCCCTCCAGAGGGAGGTTTTTGGAAGGTTCTACCAGCAAAAAAAAACCTCCTGAGGAAGGTTCTTGTAATGTTTTAGGAAGGTTCTTCCAAACAGAACCTGCCAGAGGAAGGTTTTCGGAAAGATTTAGGAAGGTTCTCCCACAAAACCTTCCAGATGAAGGTTTTTTGGAAAGATGTAGGAAGGTTCTAAAACAACAACTCCTGAGGGAGAATTTTGGGATGTTTTAGGACGACCCTCCTGAGGAAGTTGTTTGGAAGGTTCTTCAAACATTACCCTGGCGACATACCCAACCCCTGCGCAATGCGGGGTATGAGTCGCTTGGTAGACTCTATACGGGGTGATGACGTGGCATGGGATAATCTACTTCTGCAAACGGCACTCGGGAGGCTCGCGGATCCCAGACCAAGGGATACGGGCTTGGTGAAAAGCATTACCAGGTTGAGTCCCTGAGCGTTGGGGAAAGGGCAGCCCCCAGGAACGGCGAGGTCAAATTTGAGTCTGCGGCAGGTACCCATGATGCTGGCCTCCCCAGCAGGCCTCGAAAGTGGCGACAGCCTCGCAGATCGCAGCCCCACTGCCCAGGGATGGCGAGGCCTAGTTCTGATCCGCGGTGAGTGCCCACTCTGCTGCCCCCCCCACCCACCCCCACCCCAGTAACCCTCGAAAGTGGCGACAGCCTCGCAGATCGCAGCCCCCAAGGGATGGCGGTCTACTTTGGATACGCGGTGAGTGCCCACTCTGCTGGCGTCCCCAACAGCGCCCAAAAGTGGTGACAGCCTCGCAGATCGCAGCCCCCCCAGGGATGGCGAGTTCTAATTCGGATCCGCTGTGAGTGCCCACTCTGCTGGCCTCCCCCGCAGCCATCGAAAGTGGCGACAGTCTTGCAGATCGCAGCCCCCCAGGGATGGCGAGGTCTAATTTGGTTCCGCGGTGAGTGCTCACTCTGTTGGCCTCCCCAGCAGCCCTCGAAAGTGGCGACAGTTCCACGGATCTCAGCCCCCCCACCAAGGGATGGCGAGGTTCAATTTGGATCCGCGGTGAGACCCACTCAGCTGGCCTCCCCAGCAGCACTCGAAAATGACGACGGTCTCGCAGATCTCAGCACCCGATCCAAGGATGGCGAGGTCTAATTTGGATCTGCGGCGAGCACCCACTCAGCTGGCCTCTCCAGCAGCCCTCGAGGGTGGCGAGGTCTAGTTTGGATCTGCGGCGAGTGCCCACTCTGTTGGCCTTCCTAGCAGCCCTCGAACAGATCGCAGCCCCCCAGGGATGGCGAGGTTTACTTTAGATGCGCGGTGAGTACTCACTCTGCTGGCATCCCCAGCAGCCACTCAAAGTGGCGACAGCCTTGCAGATCGCAGCCCCCGAGGGGTGGCGAGGCCTAATTTGGGCGGTGGGTACCCTCTCTGTTGGCCTCCCCAGCGGCCCTCAAAAGTGACGACAGCCTCACAGATCGCAGCCCCCCCAGGGATGTCGAGGTCGACGTTGGATCCGCAGCGAGTACCCCATCTGCTGGCCTCCCCAGCAGCCCTCGAAAGTGGCGACAGCCTCGCAGATCGCAGCCCCCCAGGGATGGCGAGGTCTAATTCTGATCCGGGGTGAATAATTACCAACTCTGCTGGCCTCCCCAGCAAACCTCGAGTTTGGCGACAGCCTCGCAGATCGCAGACCCCCCAAGGATGGCGAGGTCTAATTCTGATCCGCGGCGAGTGCCCACCCTGCTGGCTTCCCCAGCAACCTTCGAAAATAACAGCAGTTTCGCAGATTGCAGCCCCACTGCCCAGGGATGGCGAGGTTTAGTTCTGATCCGCGGTGAGTGCCCACTCTGCTGGCCTCGCCAGCAGCCCTCGAAAGTGGCGCCGGTCTCGCAAATCACAGCCCCCCAGGGGTGGCGAGGTCTAAATTGGATCCGCGGTGAGTGCCTCTCTGTTGGCCTCCCCAGCGGCCCTCAAAAATGGCGACAGCCTCGCAGATCGCAGCCCCACTGCCCAGGGATGGCGAGGTCTAGTTCTGATCCGCGGTGAGTGCCCACTCTGCAGGCATCCCCAGCAGCCATCGAAAGTGGCGACAGCCTCGCAGATCGCAGCCCCCCAGGGATGGCGAGGTCTAATTTGGGCGGTGGGTACCCTCTCTGTTGGCCTCCCCAGAGGCCCTCCAAAGTGACGACAGCCTCACAGATCGCAGCCCCCCAAGGGATGTCGAGGTCTAATTCTGATCCGCGGTGAATGCCCACTCTGCTGGCCTCCCCAGCAACCCTCGAGTTTGGCGACAATTTCGCAGATCGCAGCCCCCCAGGGATGGCCAGGTCCGCACAAGGCAAGAGGAGACAAGAGGGAGGCGGGAGGAGGAGGGGGAAAGGAGGAGGCCCGAGGAAGGACGCGACCGCAGTGCTCCATTCAAAACAAATGCCCAACCAAGGAGGGCTGGGAACAAACACCTTCCTGAGGAAGGTTTTTGGAAGGTCTTCGGAAGGTTCTCCCAAAAAGCTCTCCTGAGGAAGTTGTTTGGAAGATTTTAGGGAGGTCCTTCCAACAACAACCCTCCTGAGGAAGGTTCCGAAGGTTCCCTCCTGAGGAAGGTATTTGGAAGGTTCTTCTAAAGAAACAACCCTCCTGAGGAAGGCTTTTAGAAGGTTTTAGGGAAGTTCCTCCAAGAGAAACCCTCCTGAAGAAGGTTTTCGGACGGTTTTAAGAAGATACTTCAAGCAACAACTCTTCTGAGGAAGGCCTGCATATGGTTTTAGGAAGGTTCATCGAAAGAAAGCACTCCCGAGGAATGTTGCTAGAAGGTATAAAGACGGTTCTTGCAACAAACACCCTCCTGAGAAAAGTTATTTGAAGGTTTCAGGAAGGTTCTTCCAACAACAACCTTCTTGAGGAAGGTTTTTGTAAAGTTTTAAGAAGGTTCTGCCAAAAAGCCCTCCTGAGGAAGTTCTGTGGAAAGGTTAAAAAAGGTTCTGCAACACAAACATTCCCGAGGAATATTTCCGGGAGGTTTCAGGAAGGTTCTTCTAAAAGAACTCTCCCGAGGGAGGTGTTTGGAAGGTTTTAGGGATACTCTTCCAACGTAACCTTCCTGGGGAAGATGTTTCGACGGTTTTACGAAGCTTCTTCAAACAAACATCCTGAGGAAGGTTGTTGGACAAGGTTTAAGGCAGGTTTTTCCGAAACGCCCTCCTAAGGAAGGTTTTTGAAAGGTTTGGGGAAGGATTTTCCAAACAAAAACCCTCAGGATAATTCTTCAAAAACCATCCTGAGGAAGGTGTTTGGAAGGTTCTTCCAAACAGCCCTCCTGAGGAAGGTTTTAGAGAGGTCACTTTCCTGATGAGGGCTTTTAGAAGGTTTTAGAAAGGCTCTTCCAAAGACATGTCTTTGGAACAACCTCCTGAGGAGCGTTTTTGGGAGGTTTTAGGAAGGTTCTCCCCGAAAACCCTCCCGAGGAAGGATTTAGGAAGGTTCGTCCAAAAAACCTTCCCGAGAAACGTTTTAGAAAGGTTCCTCTAAAAAGACCCCCTGCTGATGAAGGCTTTTGGAAGGTTATTCCAACAAAAACACTCCTGAAGAAGGTTTTTGGAAGGTTTCAGCAAGGTTCTCCAACGAGAGCCCTCCTGAGGAAGGTTGTTGGAAGATTTTAGGAAGATCCTCCCCTGCAAAAACCCTCCTGATGAAGGCTTTTGGAAATTCCTAGGAAGGCTATTCCAAAACACCCTGCTGAGGAAGGAAGGCTTTTGGAAGATTTTGGTTAGGAAGGTTCTCCCCAAAAACCCTCCCGAGGAAGGTTTTAGGAAGGTTCGTCCAAAAAGACTTCCCGAGGAAGGTTTCTGGAAAGTGTTAGGACGGTGCTTCCAACAAAACCCTCCTGAGGAACGTTCTAAACAAACTTTTAGGACAATTCCTCAAAAAAAAAAAAAAAAAAAAAAACGGAACCCAGGCCAGGCCTAGGCCGGGACCGCGGCCGGATCCGTAGCCGGGGCCGGGGCCAGAGCCAGGGCTGTGAGCCAGGGTCGGGGCTGGGGCCAGAGGTCCAGGGCTGAGGCTGAGGCCGGAGCTCCGCCTGGGGCCGGGACCAGGGCCGGGGCCGGGACCAGGGCCGGGGGCTGCGGCCTGGGGGCTGTGAGCCGGGGCTGGGGCCGGGGCCGGGGCCGGAGCCGGGGCCAAGGGCTGGGACCTGGGCAGGGCCGAGGCCGGGGCAGGCCCGGGCCGGGGCCGGAATCGGTGCTGGGACCGAAGCCCAGGCCGGGGCTAAAACCGGAGCCGTTGCGGAAGCACGGCAAACGGGAGGCGGGGGGCGGGCAGGCGGCGGGCGGCGGGCCCGGCGGCGGGCGGGCGGCCAGCAGCGGGCGGCGGGCGGGCGGATCGGGATTTTCATAGCACTCCTAAAGATTCTCCCTTGCAGCGGGATGCCGTTGAGTACTGAGTGTTTCGTTGGAGACGAGATCTGTCGAGTACCTGGTGGAATTGTTTTGGGAACGGACGCTGTTGAGTGCAGGGTGTTGTGTTGAAAGCGGAAGCGCGGCGAACGG